GTTGGGTGGGCGCTCCCGGCGGGGCGGCTCCGCCAGACGTGTGAGCGTGTGTGGTGGCATGCACACGCGTGGAGAGGGCCTAGGAAGGGGCGACACGCGTGTGCGTGTGCGTGTGCATGGGGAGTGCGCAAGAAGCGTGTACATATGTGCACACGTGTGCTTGTGCAGCGGGTGCAGACACGTGTGTGTGTGCACGGGGTGCATGTGCACACCCACATGTGTGTGCAAGTGCACATGTGTGCACACACGGAGTGCGTGTGCATTGCGTGTGCAGAGTGGCATGCGCATATGTACACGTGTGTGCGTTGCATGTGCATAGGGATGTGCTTGGGGTAAACGGGCGTACATACATGTGTGTGTACACACGTGTGTGTACAGATGGTGTGCGTGTGCATGGGGGGGTGCATGGGGGGGTGCTTATGTTTTTGTGTGTGTGCACACGTGTGTGCCCGTGTGCACTGGCGTGTGCGTGCAAGGAAAGGATGCATGTGTGTGTACATACATGTGAACATATGTGTGCATGCGTGTGTGTGCATGCGGGGGGGTGCCGCCAGGACGGACATGGGGAATGATGCCACCAGGACACGTGTCAGGGCGTGAAGCCACCAGGACATGCTTTGGGCGCGATGATGCCACCATGTCACATGTCAGGGCATGAAGCCCCTAGGACACGCGTAAGAAGACAATGCCACCAGGACACATGACGGGGCATGAAGCCACCAGGACATTCATGGTGGGGACGATGCCACCAGGACACATGTCAGGGCGTGAAGCCCCCAGGACACACATAAGAAGACAATGCCACCAGGACACATGATAGGGCATGAAGCCCCCAGGACATGCTTTGCGGGGGACAATGCCACCAGGACACGTCAGGGCATGAAGCTACGAGGACATGCTTGCAGGGACGATGCCACCAGGACACATGTCAGGGTGTGAAGCCACCATGTCACATGTCAGGGCGTGAAGCCCCCAGGACACTCTTGTGGAGTCAATGCCACCATGTCACATGTCAGGGTGTGAAGCCACCAGGACACACATGGTGGGGACGATGCCACCAGGACACATGCCTGGACACGAAGCCATCAGGACATGCTTTGGGGGCGATGATGCCACCAGGACACGTGTCAGGGCATGAAGCCACCAGGACACGCATGGTGGAGATGATGTCACCAGCACACGCTTTGGGGGACGATGCCACCAGGACACAGGTCAAGGCATGATGCCACCAGGACAAGCTTTGAGGGATGATGCCACCATGTCACATGTCAGGGCGTGAAGCCACCAGGACACGCATGGTGGAGATGATGTCACCAGCACACGCTTTGGGGGACGATGCCACCAGGACACAGGTCAAGGCATGATGCCACCAGGACAAGCTTTGAGGGATGATGCCACCATGTCACATGTCAGGGCGTGAAGCCACCA